GTACTTGTAATAAATAAAGATATTATTGTATTAAAATGTTTCATTCCTGGGACCTTGATCAGTGGAACATCATATCTTAGAGAGGAACACAAAGGGACAATACTGTGACTGGAGCAGAGACAACACAATAAGTGTCCGGGGCCCAAGACTGTTCAATTGCCTCCCAGCATACATGAGGGGGATTACCAACAGACCCCTGGCTGTCTTCAAGAAGGCACTGGACAGGCACCTAAAGTCAGTACCTGACCAACCGGGCTGTGGTTCGTACGTCAGCTTGCGTGCGGCCAGCAGTAACAGCCTGGTTGATCAGACCCTGATCCATCATGAGGCCTGGTTTCAGAATGGGCCGCGGGGGCGTTGACCCCCGAAACCCTCTCCAGGTAAATCCAGGTATACAGAAGTAAAGTACACATGCCAGACAGTCGTATGAGGGATTGCAAGTTCACTCGTTGTGCCAGAATACACACGCCAGACAGTAGTATGAGGGATGGCAAGTCCACTCGTTGTGCCAGAATACACACGCCAGACAGTCGTATTAGGGATCGCAAGTCCACTCATCGTGCCAGCCAAGAACTTGCAATCCCTCATACAACTGTCTGGCGTGAGTTAAGGCAACATTTAACCCGTAAACGGTCCAAGCAGATCTACGTTCACATGTGTAGTGCTACAAAAGTAGATCTACGTTTTTTTTTACATATTTTCAAATATAACAAAAAAAAAAGTAGATTAAAGTTTTTTTACACATTTTCAAATGTAAAAAAACAAAAAGATCTACTTTTTTTTACATACAGTCAAATGTTGAAAAAACGTATATATACGTTTGGACCATTTACGGGTTAATCATGAAGTCATACTGGTTGGGTCCATCCTTTTAAAACACCCTATACTTTTCAAGCCTGAAAAGACTTACCAACTTTTGGCTGCCCTCTTGGTTATTGCAGTTTTCTGGAGTAATAACAAGTGCTTCTAATGCCTCAGAATTCTGATTTGGAGATTTTCTTAAATGTACAGTAATTGGCAAAAATTATAGGCAAAAACTTTTAGACCTGAAAGATGTCCCCCCAGCTCTAGTCTGCACATCCTTCATGACTCACTGATCTGCCCATGTATGATATATGAAATCTGTATCTGGAGATCAGCAACCAGCAATTATCTCAACTGACCATCACACAACAAGGTTCAGAAGTCAGAACCATGACAAACTGTGATCACAGGAACACATTCCACCTCTATTCAAGTGCCTGAAAATAATAAATGTACATATCCTTCCAGCAAGCGTGCGTGAGCGTGTTAGATAGGAGTGAATGGAGACGAATGGTACTTGGGACCTGACGATCTGTTGGAGTGTGAGCAGGGTAATATTTAGTGAAGGGATTCAGGGAAACCGGTTATTTTCATATAGTCGGACTTGAGTCCTGGAAATGGGAAGTACAATGCCTGCACTTTAAAGGAGGGGTTTGGGATATTGGCAGTTTGGAGGGATATGTTGTGTATCTTTATACGTATATGCTTCTAAACTGTTGTATTCTGAGCACCTCTGCAAAAACAGTGATAATGTGCGAGTGTGGTGAAAGTGTTGAATGATGATGAAAGTATTTTCTTTTTGGGGATTTTCTTTCTTTTTTGGGTCACCTGCCTCGGTGGGACGGCCGACCTTTTAAAAAAAAAAAAAAAAAAAAAAAAAAAAAAAAAAAAAAATTCAGTATCTATCTTTATCAAAAAAACCATTAACTAAACCTTGTGAACCAATGCTATTCCCAGTGACCTAATGTTTTTCCCCAGTGCCTAATTTTTTTTCCAGTGCTTGTATTTTCCCGGTGCCTAATTATTCCCGTGCCTAATGTTTTTCCTAGTGGCCAAATGTTTTTCCTAGTGAAAAATATTATTACAAGGACCTAATATTATTCCTAGTGACCAATTTTATTCTATGACCTAATTTTTTTACTAGTGACCTAATGTTATTCTTAGTGCCCTAAATTTTTCCTAGGAATTTGGCAATCGGGCTTCAAGGCCCACAGACGGCACATAAAAAAAATTGTCTATTTTGAATCTTGCCAAAAACATAAATTATGTAGAGGACTATAAACTAAAGGGTGCTTCAGCCCTATTCAGAAATTGACACCCCCTTTACTAAACCCATGCAGCCATGAGAGAGCTGATGCCTTGTTGCTGTTGTTGGGTTGTTGTTGTTGTTGTTGCAGGTTGGGTGGGGCGGTGTGGGAGGTGATCGCTAAAAGCCCCCATCTGGTTCATCCCCCGGATTTTTCCCCCACTTGGTCAAAAGCAAAAAAAATGTGGCACCTGAAAAACCCCAGAGCTCTTGTTAGACCACTAGTTCAAACTATAATGAGGACACGTGATGTTCCTCAAAGGGGCCCCAGAATTAAAGGGACAGCCCTTCTTGATAAAAAAATGGTTTCAATGAAGGAAACCCCATATTTTAATATTAGTTGCATTTCTAATTTTTTAAAACTTAAAAATGAACTTTTTGATAGAAAACAATATTTAGTAAAAAAGGATGGTTTTTTTTCACACGTGATATCACGCGAGTAGTTAAAACTTGAATTGGTTCCTAAGTACTTATGCTGAGTGAAAGCTGGCATAACTTATGGATTTTTCAAATTTGGGAAAAAATTCCCCGTATGTTTAAATTCGATAAAATTTTCCTTTATATAATTTGAAGGGTTTCGAGAGTTTCCTACTCTTGCATCTAACAGTGGTCACATTATGATAAAATAAATGAAAAGTATGTATAAAACTGTTTTTTCACACAGATCCCAAAATAAAATAATACGAAACAAAATCTTTCAAATGTTATCCCTGGACCACATGTGCGATCAAGGTTTACATGCCACAATCCCATGTAACTTAAAGTTTTTCAGTGTACAAAATTTGTTAAGCTGTTATGCTGTTTGAGATATGGTGCAGTAAACAAAAGGGTCTCCCTATTGTATGTAAAGTAATAATTCATTAGAGTTTACAGTAAGCTGCAGTTCATTGCCACACCACCTAACTTTATCTTAACAAGCATGAATTAGCTCTGCACTCTGAAGGATTTGTATGAATGTTGCACTTCAGAGCAACATGCGAAGTGTAATGCAGGTGCACTTCAGGAAAGATGTCTACAGAATGAGTGATAGTGAATGTTTATTTTATTTGGGTTATCCTACCTTAGTGGGAAACAATGAATGTATTAAAAATGATCCAGAAACTTCTATAAGTGGGAGATGACCAGCATTTAAAAAAAGCAAGTTTCTATATTCCATAACCTCTCATAATAGCTTGCCTTAGCCACAAGTTTTTTTTACCATAATTTAAGTGAAGTTTTTCTGGACATTTTAGATATTACATTATTATTACTATTACTATATTACCTAATATTAAAAATAAGCATTAACCAGCATGGGTGATGCAGTTAAAATACATTATTTCAACCTTACCGTCGTTATTAAATATTTTATCACTGGCCATCCTCCTCCAGGGCATGGTGACCCAGAGAAAGAAACACATTCACCATCACTCATTCTCTAGTTGTCTTCCCAAAGAAGCAGGGACATCACAATTCAAAGACTTTAACCTTAATCATTTTTTTTTCAACAAACCGGGTATATCCCACCAAGGCAGGGTGGCCCCAAAAGAAAAACGAAAGCTTCTCTTTAAATTTAGTGATATATACAGGAAAAGGAGTTACTAGTCCCTTGCTCCCAGCATTTTAGTCGCCTTTTACGACATGCATGGCTTATGGAGGAAGAATTCTGTTCCACTTCCCCATGGAGAACTTTAATCATATCATACATTATTTACCCCCACCTTTAAACAGTTTTACCTTAACTCGTAAAACACGACATACTGTTCTTAATTTATGCACAATATCCTATTATGTAGGTGAAGATTCATGCAACTGAGAAATTATTTTGTGAAGAAAGGATACTGTGAGATTTGAATGTTCACCTTTTAGCTAGGAGACGGCACCCATTACTAGTGAACTAGCAAGTGATCTCAAGACTCATGACATCATAATGACACGATTGCAAACAAACCATAACATGGGTGGGGTTTGAACCTGCGGTCAGAGAGTCTCAAACTAGTGAGTGATCTCAAGATTGTGAACTAGTGAGTCATCGCAAAATTGTGAACTAGCGAGTGATCTCAAGATTGTGAACCTGTGAGTGATCTCAAGATTGTGAATTAGTGAGTGATCTCAAGATTGTGAACCTGTGAGTGATCTCAAGATTGTGAACTTATGAGTGATCTCAAGATTGTGAATTAGTGAGTGATCTCAAGATTGTGAACCTGTGAGTGATCTCAAGATTGTGAATTAGTGAGTGATCTCAAGATTGTGAATTAGTGAGTGATCTCAAGATTGTGAATTAGTGAGTGATCTCAAGATTGTGAACTAGTGAGTGATCTCAAGATTGTGAATTAGTGAGTGATCTCAAGATTAGTGAGTAATCTCATGACTGTGAATTATTAAGTGATCTCAAGATTGTGAACTTGTGGACTTAAACCTGGTAAAAACAAGGCTATTTAAAGATCATCACAACTACCAATCAAGATCCTGCCTTATTTTCACTACCACTAGAAGCTAGGGGTAGTGAAAAAGACAAAGACAAAGATTTATTTCAGCATAATACAATGTCTGTACAGAGATGGGTGACATGTTTGTGCATGCAGTAAAGACAGAGTTATGCAGAGCATTTAGTTAAAGCTTAAGTCTAACTTAAGACTACAATGGCAATAACTATTATATGCTTATATACCAGAAGTATACATGGAGGGTGTTCCAGGGGTCAATGCCCCCACGGCCTAGTCCATGACCAGGCCTCGCGGTGGTCAGGACCTGATCAACCAGGTTGCACACAAACCAACATCAAGGGTATACAAACAACAAATTTAGGCATTACATTTAGGCATTACACTTTGCTAAAAAAAATTAATAAAAAAAAATTTTGAGCATACCAACAAAACATGTGGACAGAATTAAGTAAAAAAAAACTTACTAGAGTGATATATTTTGAAAGCGAATTTCTTGGCCTTGACATCAGTGGCAGGACAGACGTGGAAACCTGGTAGGTAGATGAGCGAGTCAGCACGCACTGCCTCACGGTCACGATAACCATATAGGTAGTTTTTCTGCAGTCATTAATCAACTATTATTATCAAATCTTTCCATTGGCATTAAATTATTAATTACACTCCTTCACCTCTATTACCTGTAATTATATTTACATCTACTGCCTCTGCTTTATTATATACAGCACCTGCAAGCTCAGTGATGACCTCTTTAATATGTATACATGTATATGCAGTATATCCCAAGTGTTACTTCTGCTGTTGCATTCTATCATCTTCAATACCATCCTGAGCAAGCCTCTAATCACCAGGCCTCTATCTACAGTATTTACCATTTAACTATAAGGGTTATAATCACACAGGGAAACAATGATTAGGCTGACCATCACTGAGTAGTGGCAGCATTCAGCAAAGTTTCTAGCACATACGTACCTTAAGGATGAACCACCGGCGTTCCCAGCGATGTGGGAGGAGGAAGCCCTTGTTGTCACGGCGACGGTGCAGCCAGCCTTGGTGGTCTCCCTGGCCCAGCTCCCGACATGAAATTCTTCGGCTTCCTAGCAATTTTATTGCAATAATTAGCATTTTTTTTTTCAGTATTATGCCTTAACACAAGAAAACAGTACTCATGTATTTATAGACAGTCACCTATGTACCTCTATATTAGATCTATCAAGCTACTTTAAAAGGCATAAAAGTTCTTCAAGAAAGAAATGGATCGGCAGATTGCATTTCTCTAAATTTCAAAACAAGTTTTAATAAGAGTACACAGCGAAAGACTAATCTGGAAATTACAAAACAAAACATAAGAAAATAAAATGTAAATAATTATGGTGAACGAGAGATCTACCGTTTAAAAGAAAACTGATAAAAGAAAAATGTCATGGGAACATGTGACCAGTGGGGGTGCTACAAGGATCAGCCTTTGCTCTGTTGTTTCTGATTTAAACTACTTATGCCAGTCATTTGCCCTAAAGAATAAAAAACTAACACAATTGTAAAAGATCCAAAAATCCCATGTAAAATAGATAATAAAAGTGATTGTGAATCCCTACAAGAAAAGGTTAATAAATTGAGCAAATAGTGATAGATGGATGAGAAAATTTAATGTAAATAAAAGCTAGGTAACAAAAATGAGAAAGCAATAAGAAGCCATAAAATACAAAGTGTAGGACAAAATGCTGAAGACATCAGAGGGATCTGGCAGTAATTATTGTATAGATAAAAGACTCAATGAGAGATCACAATGTAGTAGTGAGAGGCTCATATACTACTACAAAATAACCTTCAGATATAAAGCACGGAGGAATAATAATGAAACTGTTCAAAACATATGCTAGACCAAAACTGTAATATGCAGCACAGTGATATCCACACATAAAAAAAAAAGATAAAATAGATAAAGTGCAGACATGGCACAAACTATAGCCCCTAAAGCCGAGATGTGAGTTAAGAAGACTGAATGAAAACACTAAAATTGTCTTCAAGTGATAGGATAGAAAAAAAGTTGACACCCACAATAAATGGACATAAGATTTATCAAGAAAGCCCCATAAAATAAAAACACTGAAAATGTCCATGTTTGCTAATAGGCTGAGGAGACATGATCATTAACATAAACCTATGAAAGTGTACAAGTAAAATGACAAAGGGTTCAAGCATCATTGACAGGGAGACTAACAGTAAAATGAGTGAAGCAATGCTAAAAGTATACTAAAAAGTGTTTTCTCGCAAACACTGGAGGTAGACTACTGGTTGGGAACCAAGAGAAGAATGTAACATTACAACCACTGCCCCAAACCCGTTACTTGAAACAAAGAGTATAACACTAGCAGCACAGGCTAGACTCGCACATTTATGAGTGGCATTTAGGAACCCAAATAAAGACATGTTCAAAATACACATTACCTCAGATATGCACCCCCATTCTTGAGTATACATCACATGTATAGTCTTCACCTACTAACACATGACATGAAACTTAAAATCCAAAAAGAGTGTATTGAGACTGTTGCCTAAGTTGAGGGGAATGATCTATTAAAAGAGAAAGAAAATGAGCTGGATCTTCTGTCAGTAATAAGAGGTAGTGGAGTAATGAAGGGGCCCAAGAGGCTACAAACTGATACAGTATGATTAGTAATTTACAGGTGGGGCCAGGAGCTGCAATTTTACCTAACAAGTACACCCTGAGTACATGCACATACGGATAATACAGAGTACACATAATAAAAAGTAACAACTGACAAGGTTCATGTTAATCATCAAACATCACAAGTCATCAGCCAAGCCCAGCAACAAATATACTGTACAACTATATACAGGAATTATAGTATTTATCTTCATCTTTTAGAAAAATTGATCTAAATATTCTAAAATATTACAAACAGGTTGAGCAATATTTACAAAACACTGTACAACCTTTATCTATCACTTTTTAGGCAGAGTTGCTCAACAACTCACAAAAACACATCTTTTTGAAAAATTTGTTTTCTGCACTGATGAAGATATATTTTGTAAATTAACACAGTATAAAAGCTTTTAATTTTGTAAAAAAATAACTGAATAATCCCATCTAATCCTCCTAAAATTAACATAACACAGTTTAAATTAATCTTTTCAGACCATTTTAGATTAACCTAAATTTAATAAATGCAGCCATATTTAACATTAATGTTTTTGATGTTGATTAGAATTTTTACCAGGTTGAAAATAAATGGTATGAAATACCGACACTATGGAAACATAAACACACATGCAGTTTAATGTGATCCTTTATTGACAACGTTCTGCCCACACAGTGGGCTTTTTCAAGTCACAAACAGATCTGTTTGTGACTTGAAAAAGCCCACTGTGTGGGCGAAACGTTGTCAATAAACGATCACATTAAACTGCATATGTGTTTATGTTTCCATTTTACCAGGTTACTGCTAAAACCACAAGCTCTACCTAAAAAGCATGACACACACATGTACATACATACTAAACATCAAAGTAGTTGTTAAAATGCATTTGCTTCTCAACAGGGACTTTTGACTTTTACTGGAAGTCATTCAATTAAATACGTATATTGTATTTGATTGTTTATCTTATATAATGTATATGAACAAGAAAATTTAAGCAGACAATTATGAAGCAAATATTATAGTGTATAGGATACAGTCATAACCTTAAATATTGGGGTACATATATATAAGGCACACACTAACATCTAAATGATCCATAAAAAATAAAGTAATTATTACTTATAAATACAGCCTCTCCTCACTTAGCGATGTACTTGTTTACCAACGACTCGGACTTACGACGGGCTCTCTGACCAGTATGCATACCTACATAATATATGTATATTAGAGATGATTTCCTCTATTCTGTTTATTACCATATACAGTACACTAACTGTATAAACATTTAAAAATATACAGGTCATCTATCACTAATCCAGCATCATTGGGACCTGTAGTGTGCCGGATTAGAGAGTTTGCTGGATTACAGAGTGGTTAGGTTAGAATACACTTAATTAACCTATTAATAGAGACTTTCTGCTATGTCTTCCTCATTTTCATCACTGCTTTCTCCTCCACTGGCTTGCTGCTGTGGATTTACAACCATCTGCACAATTTCTGAGTCAGTATAATGATGAAATTTGAAATTACGCTAGCAGAAATTAGTGCTAGATTACCGATGGTATCAGTAATCCGGCACTGATTGCCGGATTAGTGATGGCCAACCCATACTGGAAATGTTATAAATGGTGCAAAGATGACATTAAAACAATATTAAAGATGGTTGACACAAACCCACTACCATTATAGTATGCTCCTTGCTTAGTGACAAATTTGTTTACCGACGTGGTTTTAGGAACGGAACTCCGTCGTTAAGCGAGGAGAAGCTGTATTGATAATAATAATGGAGATAATAGTGTTGAAGCATCACTGAGCAGCTGGAAATGTTATTTAACCTATTTTAACCTAACCTCAAATTGTTAATAAATAAATAAATAAATAAATAGTGGAACCTCAAAAATCGAACTTAATCCGTTCCAGGAGCTAGTTCTAAATTCGAAAAGTCTGAAATTCGAAGCAATATTTCCCATAAGAAATAATGGAAATACAATTAATCTGTTCCAGAAACCCATAAATATTCACACAAAAAATACATATTATAGAGATTAATTACAGTTTTACATACAATAAATACTATAGTTTTTAATTATGTATAGTAATACATATAAAATAACATTTTTACTTACCTTTATTGAAGATTGGTGATGGCATCTGGAAGATAGGGAGGAGGAGAGAGGGAGTTGGGGTTAGTGTTTGGAAGGAGAATCCCCCTACAGGAGGACTTCAGGTAAAGCCCTCTCTGGGGCTACTTCCCTTCTCTGTCTTTTAACCCTTTGACTGTCGCGGCCGTATATATACGTCTTACGAGGTACCGTGTTTGACGTATATATACTCATAAATTCTAGTGGCTTCAAATCAAGCAGGAGAAAGCTGGTAGGCCCACATGTGAGAGAATGGGTCTGTGTGGTCAGTGTGCACCATATAAAAAAAATCCTGCAGCATGCAGTGCATAATGAGAAAAAAAAAACTCCAACCGTTTTTTTTTTAATTAAAATGCCGACTTTGTGGTCTATTTTCGTATAGTATTTATGGTTGTATTCTCGTTTTCTTGGTCTCATTTGATAGAATGGAAAACATATTATGGAAATAGAGGTGATTTTGATTGATTTTACTATAAAAAGAACCTAGAAATGGAGCTCAAAGTAGGGGAAATGTTTGATTTTTGCCAATGTTCAAAAGTAAACAAATGATGCCATTGTCCAATAAATGTCCAACTAGCCATTCTAATATGCAGTCATGAATGGGTTGATGTTATTTATACAATTATTACAGCATTGCAGTAGTCTGCATAATAGTAAGTCTTCTATTTTTTGTTTGAATAAAAATTCAAAATAGAAAGCAAGAGTAATATCAGAGGGGCCTGGAGACGTGACTGATGAACAAAGAAAATGTTATTTTAGAGCCAGGAATGTCTGCATTGTTCATTCTGGACCTTATTTTGAAATTGTCATATTTTTTAGTTTTCGTGAAATTGGCCAAATTGCAAATTTCTGACCACATTATTAGGTAGTTGAAATCGGTAAATGGGCAGTTTCTTGTACTCAATTGATAGGAAAAACGGAGTTCTAAAGAAATAGCTATGAGTTTGGGCGACTGGAACAAGGGAATTAGCCGAAAATAGGGCTCAAAGTGGGCGAAATCGCCGATTTGTAAACAGCGCCGAGGTCGCTAACTTCGCGAGAGCATAATTCCGTCAGTTTTCCATCAAATTTCGTTTTCTTGGTGTCATTACAATCGGGAAAAGATTCTCTATCATTTCATAAGAAAAAATAGTTTTTTTTTTTAAATTTTGCGACACCAGGAGACACCTCAGGATTGAGGGTTGCGACAGTCAAAGGGTTAATGCCACTAGGACCAGCTTGAGAGTCACTGAACCCCTGTCTCACAAAATAACTGTCCACAGTCCTCTGTTTCTGGTGCCTCTTTAACATTTC